AGGGGAGGGGAGGGGAGGGGCGATTTCCCTTTCTCTGCTGGACCCAACTGATCTTGTCAGTAAATCAGAACACACTGCCAACAATCATGTTTAAATCATCCACAAAGAGGCTATGGATTCAAAAGTATCCAAGTATTCTTGCTATTGAGATAGTTTAGGGAACATTTTGCTACAAGGAAACTCAGTTGCACACTTTTACCTGGGGCAGGACCTGCTTGTTGCAGAGAACGTCTCCACCACTGTTGTGAAAGGACTGCTACAAGCATCCAGGGAACAGGGGCCAAGGGTGAATGGACACACACCATACCTTTCAAATTCATGAAGTGAGCAGAATGGAAGGTAATTTAGTCCAAACTCCCCATTTCTCAAATAGGAGAACCGAGCGAGCGTCGCGAGGGTCCAGAAACAGGCAGAGTGGTTTTTCAAGTACACAGAGCCACCGAATCACAGCCAGGAAAGGAAGGTAGATTCCTTCCTCTCCTTTCCCTTCCGTATCTGGAGTTGCGCAGGGGGTGAAGTGTATGTGTATGTATCTACGCATGTGTGCATATGGGTGTTTGTACTCTGAGCAAAGGTTTAAAAAGACTCCCAGTTAAAAGTGTACCCGCGATTCTGACTGAGTTAGCGTTGCCAACTTTGCATTCCTCCCCACCAATCTACAGTGTTACCTTGGTTGTTGAATGGCTCCAAGCTCTAACAACAGCGGAGTGAAAAACATCTGCTCAGTGTCTGTAATTTTGCTGGATAGTTGAATTGAAAATCTGATTTGGAAAAAAAAACAAAAACCAAAAAACCTGTACAGGCTAAGAGAATGTCTTCAGTCAAAGGGCCATTTTCACCCAGTCAACATACAGTGCTTGTGTTAATGCATTAAAACACTTGTCATCGTACTTTTGTTGCACTTTATTTGCATAAAATATCATAACCATGGCTCCAGAAAAAGTTAGTGATTCCAGCAGTAAAGCTAAAAGGAAAACTGTGAGAACCATGATCAAGTGAAAGAAGAAATCATGGTGGAATTTGTTAAAGTCCTGGATAAATGAATTTATAAGTATAATTTTGGGGCTTCAGAACCAATTACTTAGTTTTATATCATTTCTCGTGGGGAAAATATGTTCCGTTCTCAAACGTTTTGGTGTTCAAATACTAATTTAGAACAAATTGAGCTCAACAACCAATGTATCACTGTAGTTCCAAAACTTCTCATTAATGACTCAAGAGTCATACAGACTTTCTGAGCCGAGAGACCCTCAGAAGTCACTGAGCCCAATGCATACTTTATGGTGGGAAAACGATAGGCTGAGAGAAGAAAAGTGAGCTCCTCATGTCACAAAACTACTTAACTGCTAGACTGATGTAGCTGTTGCACAAGCACACATAGGTTACACTCTGCACACTTCTGGGTTGCATGTAGCTCCAAGGGTCTCATCATTCTGGCTGGAAAACCAGAGCCCATCTAAGCAAGCACATCCCAGACAGAACAAGAATACTTCTCTGTTGAGCAAGTGAATACAATTCTAATGAGAAAACTAATAAAAAATGGAACCCTTCTTCTTCCTCAGGAAAACACCAAATGGCGGATGATGCCGGTGCAGCGGAAGGGCCGGGAGGCCCCGGGGGCCCAGGCATGGGAGGCTGCTGCGGCTTCCGCGGAGGCTTCAGCAGTGGCCTTTGAGGCCGGCCCGAGGCCGAGGCCGTGGGACTCACAGCGGTAAGACGGAGGACAATGAGTGGATTCCTGTCACCAAGTTGGGTCGGCTGGTCAAGGACATGAAGATCAAGTCCTTGGAGGAAATTTATCTCTTCTCTTTACGCCTCAAGGAGTCTGAGATTATTTATTGACTTTTTCCTGGGCACGTCTTTCAAGGATGAAGTTTTGAAGATCATGCCAGTGCAAAAGCAAACTCGTGCTGGCCAGCGGACCAGATTCACAGCATTTGTCGCCATCGGGGACTACAATGGTCACGTCGGTCTGGGTGTAAAGTGTTCCAAGGAAGTAGCCACTGCCATTCGCGGTGCCATCATTCTGGCCAAACTCTCCATTGTCCCCGTTCAGAGAGGCTACTGGGGGAACAAGATTAGCAAGCCTCACACTGTCCCTTGCAAGGTGATGGGCCCCTGTGGCTCTGTGTTGGTGCATCTGATCCCTGCCCCCAGAAGCACTGGCATCATGTCAGCCCCTGTACCCAAGAAGCTTCTGATGATGGCGGGTATTGGTGACTGCTACACTTCTGCCAGGGGCTGCACTGCTACTCTGGGCAACTTTGCTAAGGCCACCTTTGATGCCATGTCCAAGACCTCCAGCTACCTGACCCTGGACCTCTGGAAGGAAACTGTCTTCACCAAGTCTCCCTACCAAGAATTCACTGACCATCTTGTGAAAACTCACACCATAGTCTCTGTTCAGAGGACTCAAGCTCCAGCAGTAGCTACAACATAAGGGTTTCTACAAAATAAAAATGAATGAAATCTGTCAAAAAAAAAAATGGAACCCTTATAAGGATACAAACACAATACACGTATACTCACATACACATCTGTGTATATGATTAACACATACACTATTATTAAAGGTGCTTACTTTTAAAAATATGTGACATTCGGCATGCAATAAATTCACAGTGCTAGCAACACATCAAAGCGTATTGTTAAGTGGAAGTACATCTCGACACAACATTTTTAGAATGTTACCCATCAAAAGCTACAAAACAAAGTAGTACATTCTTTGACTCAGTAGTTCTTCTGGGAATGTGGAACTCTCTGTAGAAAGAGAGATATACAACTACATGGATGAGAGTGTTTACTAAAACGTATTTTGTGGCAAAAAGAAAATATTAGCTGGCTTATCATTAGGCTCGTGGCTGTGTATACAAATGATAGAATTTTATATAACTGTTAGAAACGTTTATAAATGAATGACTGTAGAGCTGAAGGGATATCTATCATGTATTAGTAGAACAGCCAAATTGCAGGGCGATGTAATTATTTAATACAGTGTCTTATATAAACACCACTACCTTTAACACACTATTTTATGTGTAAATATACGTGTGTTTTGGGGGGCAAAATGAGTGTAAAAGAAAGATGTGAAAGTCTGTTAACACTGGGCATCTCAGACAAGTCTGTGATGAAGATGACTCATATTTTCTTTGTGCATCTTTGAATATTTTCATTATTCATGATATATATACATGTTACCTTGAAAAAACTTAAGCCAAAGTCTTCAAAGTAAAGCTAGAAGAAAACCCAAAATAGTCCTCCTTTCTTCCCTAGTACCCCCCATGGCAGTGGAAATACTCTGACTTTATGGGGAAAAAAATAAGCAAAGAAGCAAAAATAACTTTTTAAACTATCACTCTAAGTCTTTGGCTGCCATGGCCATCTTCTGAGCAAGTTACTTTTCCCACCTGACACAAGATGTGACCTTTTGAGAAGATACAGGAAGTGACCCCGAGCATAGACAGGAAGTGAGCTCTTGAGCAGATACAGGAAGTGACCTGCTGAACATAGCACCAGAAAAAACTCTCCTTTACACAGATATATTTCAGTCTCCTGTAATCTGAGAGAAAACTTGAAAAACTTCTTGTCCTGCTTCACAAAGGAATCTGTGCTATAAATAGGCCAAGCACGATCCACTCTCAATTCACAAAACTACAGAGTAGATTGAAACTAACTCTGGCAGCAGCCCTTTTGGGGACACCTGAACCAGCCACTTGGAAAGCTGGTCTCATTCCCATGTGCTGCTTTAACTAGTTGCCACTCCACACTCCTCAATGAAAAATGACAGGATCATGAACATAGCTGTCCTGGCTGTGACAGTGACAACCATAGGGCTTAAACAATGATGAAACCACATTACCTGACACACCACCTGGGCAAGTCCTTCTGGACAAGTACCTCAAAGAGAGGCATCACTGTCAACTTTAAAAACTGAAGCAGAACTGTTCCTACGAATGCATAAAACTTTCTCTATATAGGAATAGCCCAGTCCCCTGATCCACCCTGGACTCTATTTAAGTCATGGCTCAAGAAGCAGTAAGGACAAAGCAAAAAAAAAAAAAAAATCGACTTACCAAGCCAACTTCTGTTTAAGTACACAGACACAAACACAGGAGGGACCGTGAAGAAATCTACTACAGAGTTCACTTCCAACCAGAACCACAATTTATCATTGGCTGCAATAAACTGAGGGAAAAAGAAATAAAGGAAAAAAAAAATGAGAAGCGTGGTGTCAGCATTCAATCTATATTCTTTTACTAAAGGGTAAGTTTTGGATTTCTGGGGAGGACCAGTGAGAGATGTTGTGTTCTCATACTTTAATAAACACTTATTTTGCTGGGTAGGTAGGCTTTTGTAGAGTGACTATATGCTATGTCAGCCCTGGAAGAAAAAGATCAGGTGATGTATTTTTCTATGGCTTCTAACAGCCTTACAGGGAAGGTTCACTAACCTTACCTTCTTCAGATTCTCTAATGTAAAAATAAAAAATTTAAAGCACATACATGTATATTAATTCACACACATCTCTGTCATTCAGATATTGCACACCTCTTAGGGTCTAGAATAAACCCTCCAAGCCCCAATTCTATCTGCTCTGCTGGGTCATCCTCACAATTGGTCTTTCAGGTAACTGAGCACTGCTGAACAGAATTTTAAGAGCTGAAGGGTCTGGCGCAGGGTAGGCAAGCATTCTATCACTGAGTTACATCCCCAGCCATGAAAGGATTTGTTTGTTTGTTTGTAAGAGAAAAATATTCATGCTTGAACAGAGGGATACAAGATAGTGGACCGGGAAAGGTCATCATTTTCAATCTCTGATTCTCCCCTTTGAAACAAAATTAACAAAATATTCCAGAAAATTCTTAGCTAAGGAAAGAGATCCCTCATCATCTGGAAATCAGAGTACATTGCTCATCATGGGAACACTGGACTTCACTTTGCCCTAAAAAGCAGATGTGGCTGGGGTGAACCCTGGGTATGAGCCTGAAAGGCATCGCTGTGGAACAGAGCTGCGCGGCCACACTTACCCGCAGGCCGAAGTACAGGAGGAAGAACACGTTGAAAGCCATGTCGATCTGTAATGTGAAATCTTTGTAGAAATTCTGGCAGGATTCTATTGGGCTATTAGACAGGAAGAAGAAAAGAGTGAGAGGTAAATGAGAAACGTCATCACACCTTCACAATGATGAGAAGTGGTGGCTATACAGGGTAGAGGACGAAATGAATGTTCATCAAATAAAACATTTGGTCTTTCTACCCACTGAGATAATCAAGCAAGCATGGCCAGGGGCTTTCCATTCAACCGTTCAGTGTTCTGTTCTTTCATTTTCTGTTCGGCTTCTTTGTAACTTTATATACAATTATTTCTTATTATCATTCAACAGTTGAACTAAAAATCCAAAGAGGATCATGCAGACACCTTGGAGTAAGGACAAGCAGGAGAGCCCACCAAATTCCCTGATTTCACATTAACCCTTAAAGAACTGACTTCCTTTCTTTAGAGGATGCATAAGGAGGCTAAAAATCAGCCCCTCATGCCCTCCAGCACATTGGTAGTGCAGCCCATTTTCCATGAAGCACAGTGGCAGTGTTTTGGATCTCACAGAAGTCATGCATGGGTTAATAATAGACCCAGGAGCATCTCAATAAAGCTGTGGTAGAGAGGATCCTGGTAGACATTCTGCTAGACTAAGGGTGGACTTTCTGTGCAGCACTCTGATCTGGGGAAGGAGGTGTTGCCCAACTGGTAAAATTCAAGACTATTCAACCAAAATGTTGAAGCAGTACTCTTAAGGGTTAATTTTTAAATGTTTAAACAATATTTTTGGCATGCAGGCTCATTGTCTTTGTGTGGTGTCAAGCAGCCAGTGTGCACCCTCAGCATACTCTGCTAGTCCAAGAGTAGGCAGTTCAAAAGGGTACAACCATACAAACTGGTACGTAGCTTCCATGTGCTTTCCTGCATCAAACTGATCAGAGCAGTGAGCAAAAAATTCCAGGATATGGGCTGGGTGGGAAGCAGGAAAGCCTCTTAAACATCTCAATGCTCTGAATGAAAATCCATAGTTTTTTTGTTATCCGTAAACACATGATAACACTCAGGCTAGGAACATAAATTATGTGAGGGAAGGGAAAGGGGACAGCGTAAGAGGAGAAACAAAAAATTTTCCCCAGATGGGAAGCAACGTGAATCTCTCCCTGCAGGAGAGAGCTAGCTTGAAAGTAAGTGCAAGATGAAGGATTTACGAGCATCACCACTCTGGAAATCACTGGATGCAATACCAGTTAGTATAGTTGGATGTCCATAAGGACAGTGCTTGGCCATTCAACAGGCAGGAATCTGTGCAGTTCGGGAATGCGGGGTCCACTTGGAGGCATGGAAGTCAGTCTGTGTGAATCTCCAATCATGTTACATGCACTGGACCTCTCCATTTCTCAGCTGGATTACAAGTCAAACATGCCCTTTGTTATCTCCCAAACCACAAATCTGTGGTAAACTTCCAGACTAGTGCGAAGAGTAACCTACATGTGTGTGTACAAACTAAGCAGGCTGAACAAAAACAGCACTGAAAAACAGTTCTTTACAAAGAAAATGACAACTGCAGGTTTTCTCTAAGGTAGAGAAGTGGGAGGAAAGACAAGATGGCATTTGGTTAGACCATGCCAAAGGCAGCAGAAGGTAAACATCACAGCCTACCATTCCTCTTTGCCTGCCCTCCTATGTAGGTATTAATTTAGATACTTCTGCAATCCTTGGGCCATGGCAGTGCTTTATTTTGTTTCAAGAACAAGACCCACAGTTGTACAGGTATCAGGGTTCCTAGTCACCATAGCTGCAATAAAAAGAAGTATGCGAAGGTTGCCTAAAAAAAATCAACTATAGATTCCTAGAGTTGACAAAATGCTATGGAAGCCACTGGCAGGATATGCTTCTGAAAAACGAATTTGTATGTGTGTGTGCGTCTGTGTGCAAGTGTGTGTGCGGGGGGGATGGAGATGGAGACAGAGAGGAGAGAGAGAGAGAGAGAAAGGACAGGTAGATCTGAAGGTAAATATGGTACTCGTGTGGGCATTTGTGTCAGCAAGGACTTAACTTATGCGTTAACAATTTGTATTCATCTAGACTGATGGTCACATAGTCAAGGAGACAAGGAGAAAGGCTTGGTTCCTATATTTATTGAGGAAAATCCACTATTACTATACAGAAGCCAAACAATAATCTTTCTGTTGCCCTCATAGTCATTGGTGGAGTTATTGGTGACATGTTGTTGGGATCTCACGGAGTATTCTGTCTCCTATTAATTCCATGCCTCTGTGATAAAGTTGGTGGTATCTTCTGATATATCTGGTTGGGAAAGTATTTGCTAAGCTGTGATAAACAATGGAATAGTGGATGGAGAGGTGATAGCTCAATGTCATTGAGGATATTTGGGGTCAAGAGAAATGGAAATAGATATTCAAAGTAGCATAAGCAACCTGGCTGAGGAAACTTCGATTGTTCCTTGCCTTCCAAGTCATTTCTGTTGTTCCCTTCTTTATTGACCATACCCAAAGGCAACAATGAAAGAGCTTAGAGCAATAGGACACCTAGGTGAGAAACATATCTTAACAACATCTTTGATTTACAGAAAACAATGTGGAAACCATAATAAACCTTTTCTCTAGTATCTTTTCAAAAATTTAGAGCTGATTTAATCATCATCTCATTATCATTCCTTGACTCCTAGACTTTAAGATAAAATAATAAAAGAAGTAAATTATGCTGCCAGCATGAGTGGCTGTTCCTCCAATTGAAGCTCACAGGTAAGAGGAGAACAGCCTAATAGATGAATGAGGTGGGAAAATAAGCAGGAAACTGGGACAAACATAGCCAGGCCTTGGGACTCTAATCAGGGAATGTGGCTTATATCCCTTTTAGCTCTTTCCTGCTTACCACAAGACCCCTAGGAGAAATGTCCTGCCTGGCTTTTCAAGTGGCACCAGAACTGTTTATCAGGGTCCCCTCTGAGATAAATCTTCAAAGTGCCCATAGTTCAGGGAATCACAATCAACAGACCACAGTGTGGCAATTCCAAAGCCCCATTATTCCATTCCCCAAATTGAAAAAATATCATGGAGAAGTTCACTGATCTTTTAAAAAGAGGATACATGATTCAGCGATCCAAGGGTTGCTCTGTTTGTCTCCCCAAGAGACAATTTTAATGATTGGTGCTCAATGAAGGATGGGGAATGAGATACAAACTCCCTTCCTTCTTGTGTAAAGCAGGAGAGTTTCCTTGTCTGGATACGTTGAAGTTTCAAGAGCTAGTAAAGAAATTATGCTTTTATTTAAAAACTACAAAAAAAATGACTCTGGATCACACACTTAAGTTTAGATTGCCCTTTTTTTTGAGGCATGCCCACATCAAAAAAGGGACTCACAGGACAGGCATATGATGCCAATAGAGAAAAAAAAAAACAAAAACAAAAACGCATTCTCAGAACAAAACAAAAAGCACTAGTTCTGACAGTAGAAAACTGACTTACCTTGTCATCCCTCGTTAAGTAACAAATTAATAATTAAAACAGACAAGATACTTGGTAGGCGATGGACTTTCTATCCTTAGGTACCCACTGTCCCCAGATCAAGTGTGATATGCAAACCTTAGGCACATTTAGTGTTTTTGACCAAGACTCTAGCCCTGAGGACCTTCAGAAGAACCTTGGTGAAGAGCTGTTTCTCATAGGGTAAATGTTCAGTGTAGCATAGAGGTTGAAATATAAACTCCTATTTCTGCTTGACAATCAAGAAAGGGCATGCTCAGTATGTAGATAAATCTGTAGAGGAAAGTGAGACTCAACCAATATGGAAAATAAACCTCTTTCTTCCTTAAAATCCTTGAGTGGGAAGATCCAACAGACAGATCTTCCTGAAGACTGACTTTCCAAAGTGTAGGGCAAGAAAGGGCTAAACCAAGTTTTCTTTCACAGGGCTCTCCCAACCTCCCAGTTTCTATTTAGTAGGCCTGAGATGAAGGGGTCCCAAGAATTTGTTTTTATAACAGTTCCACAAATGATGCCAATGCAGTTCATCTGGGGACCCCACTTTGACAGCCACTGCTCCTGAAGAATTTTCTTGCAACTATGCAATAATTACAGGTGTCACTGCCTGAGAAGATTCCCTGTCAGACCTGAACAGAGATGAGTAGCTGTTCAAACCTACCTCCAGGTAACCAGTTGCATGCCACTTAACTAATTGCTGAGATCAAGGGGTTGAATAGATATTTTCAGTTTCAAAGATGAACAAGAGAGGAAAAATTAAAAGGATACAGGGGAAGTAATTACTATGCCAATGAGCAAGCATCACCAGTGGACATTCCAATTAACAATCAGAGTGTGCCTGCTGAGCACATTTCGGTTTCAGATTAAATGAGAAAATGATGAGGTATAGGTGGGGAGGAATTACAGAGACCGTGGTTCATCAAGTATGAAGAAATGTTAAGCAGCATAGGAGCACGAAACAAATAACAGCAGCAGCAGCAACAGCAACAACCACTCTAGACGATTTCATAGGGAAGGAACTGGCTGAGGAGCAAATTAGCACTCTGTGAAATAATTTCCAACATTCAAATTCTCCTCATTCGAGTGGCCAGCCCCTTTTTAAATTGAATGGAGCTCTCTCAATTCCCATCAGGATTGTGGACCACCAGAGTTCAGGTCCACGGCACTGCAGACATGAATCAATTCAATAAGCTTAATGCTTCCAGATTCTCCTGCCTCACCTCTGCAATGTTGCCAGATTCATTTAATTAAAAGATGTCATTTATCCAGCATGATGGCTCCCACTTGTCTCATCCATCAGCTCTAAGTCTGGCTGGAAAGAACCTCCAAAATCTACCCTTACCTTGATCTGCTACTTGATTTTCTACTGTGCTTCATTGCTACTATTAGTTGGTGCCTTCGTGGCTTCATAAGCATTTCCCATGTAATCCCATTTCTAAATCTATGCTTTTGTTATGGCCTCTTCAAATCCTCTTCTCTCTTTGTGTTCAAAACTGAGGCACTGTTCAAGACCACTGGACTGAGCAAATGACTTGTGCCCTTACTGATCACCACAGTCTCTGAATTTCTATAGTGGTAGA